TGTCACCTCTTGCAGGAGACCCTCCTTGACTACCCTATTGAAAGTGGTCTCTGTTATTGCCTTACCTTGCTTTATTGTTTTTTTCAAAGCCCTTACCAGTTTCTGACAGTATACTTGCTATTTTTTGTTTATATGCTACAGGAGGGCATGTAAATTAAGTATTTGTTGAATGAGTGCAACTTGGTAGGTCACATAATTTTTCTGAGATCCATATATAGCTAGGTCCCTTCTTGCCTTCAACTGTGTTTCTTTAAATCTGGATGCCTTTAGGCAGGAGGCGGGATCCTAGCACAGTAGGTCATTAAGCCTGTGTTATGGGAGGCCTGGAAACAGGCCCTGAAGGAGAGAAACTAACTGTCCAGGAGGCAGGGTAGGAGTAGGCAAGGGGAGTGAGGCAGCCCAGGAGTCTACAGGGGAAGCAAGAGGTAAAGCCCATCTCGGCATTCAGACAACATGTGCTGGGACAACCCGTGGTGGGTAGCAGGCTGAGACGTTGGTGGGCTCAGTCAGTACTTCAATCACTCCAGCCACCCCAGTGCTTTGCACCTTTGTGCCTGGGAAGAACGCGGGGGCTCGTCTTTCCAGCTACTGAAACACTGAATTCTGCACCACCTGGAGGTACTAGCACAGCCTTTGTTCTCTCTCACCGTGTGCCATTTCCCGTCGTTGCATTTGTCTTTGCTTTTGAGTTTCAGTTTTTTCCCTTCTGTTCTTAATACAAAGACCAGGTGTCCTTTGGAAAGATAAAGAGCCATAAAGGAGTTCTTCGTCCCTGTGTAAAATATGAGCCCTTTGGATGATGTCGTCTGCACATCGACAGCAAACTGTGACCTGGGAGGGAAAGAGAGCAAAAGGCAAAGGAGGAAAACAGAGGTTTTTTAAGTGTTTCTTTGAATCTCAGAGCTGGAAGAGCAGGGAGCAAACACTCAAATCCCCATTTTTCAAATGCATAAATGGAGGCATGTACTGATTACATGACTTGTCTCTTTGGGAATGTTTAAAAGCCATTATATTCCAGCTGTTAAACATTTTGTTCTATAATTTCCTTACTGCCTGGGGGGATACTAAAGAATTTCTATGGCAGAATTTAGCTATTGGTGTAAGTCGCAGCACGTGGCAGGAAGAAACACACCTGTACTCTTTAAGCCCAGGGCATATGCATTATATTTTGCATACATCTGTGGAGAGGGAAGCTGTGAGGGGAGGCGGAAGGACAACGTGAATAACAGGGATACGATTTAAGCATCTGATAAATATTTTCTTTCTGTAAGACATACTTAACACAAAGGCACAAAGTACAGATCCACTGTCTTCTTCCACCTACCCTTACATGCTAGCACTCTGATATACTCCACCTATGAAGGGACTTTGAGGACTAAGGTGTGCTGACCCAAGCCATGGTATTTTCAATCACCTCATATGCATGTGAAAACTGGACAATGAGTAAGGAAGACGGAAGAAGAACTGATGCCTCTGAATTACGGTGCTGGCATAGAATATTAAATATACCATGGACTGCCAGAAGAACAAATATGTCTTAAAAGAAGTACAGCCAGAATGCTCCTTAGAAGTGAGGATAGCAAGACTTCGTCTCATTTTTGGACATGCTTATTAGGAGGGACCAGGCCCTGAAGAAGGACCTTATGCTTGGTAAAGTAGAGAGTCAGAGAAAAAGAGGAAGACCCTCAATGAGATGGATTGACACAGTGGCTGCAACAATGGGCTCAACATAGCAACAATTGTGAGGATGGCGCAGGACCGGGCAGTGTTTCATTCTGTTATATATAGGGTCACTGTGAGTCGGAACCGACTTGACAGCACCTAACAACAACAACATGATAGGACAGATTAGGCAAATACCTTTTACTAAATGCAGTGAATGAAAGTTAACATTTATCTGTATGATGGTTACACGTCATATGCACAGCTGGCTAGGCAAGCTTTGTTGTTGTTAGTTGTCACTGAGTCACCCCCAACTCATGGCGACCCTGTGCACAACGGGATTAGATCATTGTGACCCATAGGGTTTTCACTGGCTGATTTTTGGAAGTAGATGGCCAGGCCTTTTTTCCTAGTCTGTCTTAGTCTGGAAGCTCTGCTGAAACCTGTTCAGCATCATAGCAACATGCAAGCCTCCACTGACAGACAGGTGGTAGCTGCCTATAAGGTGCACTGGCCAATAATCAAGCCTGGATCTCCCACATGGAAGATAAGACTTCTACCACTGAACCACTATCTGTGAAAATTCATGTCCATCCGTCCATCCGTCTGTCTGTCCATCCATCCATCCGTCCATTTGACAAATATTTAATGAGTGCATACTATGTACGCAGCGCTGTGCTGGGCACGGGGATGCAGCAATGGGCATTTCATGCCTTGAGTTATCTGTGGTTTACAGACGCACCGAGAGGTGTAAACAAGGTGGTAGGGGGTGTGGGTATCAATACGCCCTCACCTGTTCCCCGTGTTTCATGTCTAAATGCACACTAGACACGGGCCAGGAACTGGGTCTGCCCTGCTTAGAGCTGTATCCCCAGTGCCTAGTACTTAACAGGCAATCAATAAATAGTAACTGAATTGAATTGAACTATAAACAGAAAATTTGGAGGGAGAACCTAGAAGTGAAGGGAAAAAATACAGTGCTCCTTCTTGCTTTTTAATATTGAAAGGCTGAGTGAACACTGAAATACACATTTATTCTTCAGATTAGCAAATTTCCTTGAGGGTAACGTTCTTCAAAATGAAAGAGAACTCTACATTTGTTAAATTAAACCAAACAGATGGCGACAGAGCTCAATATTTCCCTTGGTATGTCTGTATACTAGTGCGGAGGTTTGGGGAACTGAGGTTGGCCAATTGAAGATGGATATTAGAGCTTGCTACAGAATTAAAGCGCTTCACATTTGCGGGCTTGGTTATCAGATGTGACATTTGCTTTGTGGGAGAACTGTTCGTTAAAGCAACTTTCAGAAAAGACTGACTAACACCCCCAAAAGGCAGCAGCAGATTCAGATCACAGTACATGCTGATCCTGTAGCTGTGACTCTTCATCGCTGGCAGCTGGGAGGGTAAGGCAGAGAGCTCAGTAACACTTTAATGCATCCACCAAAGGGCTGACATATTGGTACAGTGTTTTAAAGGAGAGTTTTAAAAAAGTGCTAAAACATAAATCAGAATGAGAACAGTAGATAAAGAACACCTCCAACCTTGCAACTTTCTGAAAACATAATCTGATTACTACAATATGTGAGACTAGCATCATTTTAAAATTATATTTACTGATGACCTTTTTTCTAAGTCACTTGTGCTTTCAAAATGTTGCTTTTAAAAATTTATTACATATAACTTCCTGTTGGAAGGAAAGATCCTAGGGTTAAATCGTCAGAAGCAGCTCAGGAATTCATCACGCTGAATGAGGTGAGAGAGAAATGAAAGAGACAGAGGGGCTGGGAAGGGACAGAAGAGGGGGCAAAGCTGGTGGAGACACAGAGCAAGTGGGGGGAGCAGATGAAGGGATGAGAGGATAGAGGGTAGGCAGGAGGGGGCAGGAAGGTGTGGGGAGGAGGCCAGAGGGAGACAAGGCAGTTGGGGCAGCATCTGCAGCTGCTGTTTCTTTAAAAGGAGAGATTTTTGTCATAAAGGTTGGCTTAAGCAGTGATGAGAGTACCTGGGTGGTGTGAACAGTTGGCACACTGGCTGCTAACTGAAAGGTGAGAAGTTCGAGTCCACCCAGAGGCACCTTGGAAGAAAGCCCCCGTGATCTACTTCTAAAAAATCAGCCATTGAAAACCCTATGGTGCACAGTTCTACTCTGACGTACATGGAGTCATCATGAGTTGGAATCAACTCAGTGAGAACTGGTTAACTGGTTGGAGCAGGGGGGATTGGGGCCTCCCAACCCAGGAGTAAGCAGGGAAGAGGCTGGTAACCGAAAGGGACAACCTCTCCTACCGCCTCACCATTAGTCTTTGCTAGATCAGTTTTTGCAAATCAGGGATCTCGACACTTCCCATGGGGCGACTGGAGACATGAAGTTGTTGGCACAGACTTTTCTCCTTCAGAACCCGTTTCCCGAACCTCACGTCTGTTTGGGAATTATACACGGGGCTCACCGAGGGGCCTCCATGCCTAGCCTCTCTACAAGCCAGAATCTCTCCTCCCTGCAAGGAAAGTATTATCAACCCCTCTCAACTAATGAGAAAATTGAGGGTCAGTTTTAGCAATTGGCTAAAACACGTGAGACAGGTATACCAAACCAAAAACCAAGGCTGTTGCCATCGAGTCAATTTCACCTCATGACAACCCTACGTGTTACAGAGTAGAACTGCTCCACAGAGTTTTCTTGGCTGTAATCTTTATGTAATCTTATATCACCAGACCTTTCTCTCGTGGCACCTCTGGGTGGGTTTGAACTGTCAACTTTTAGGTTAGTAGTCCATCACAAACCATTGATGCCACCTAAGGACCTTGAGATAGGTATTGTTGTTGTTGTTAGGTGTTGTCAAGTTGATTTTCGACTCATAGCGACCCCATGTGACAGAGTAGAGCTGCTTCATAGGGTCTTTTTGGCTATAATCTTCATGGGAACAAATTGCCAGGTCTTCCTCCTTTGTAGCCACTGGGCAGGTATAATGACCCCAAGTTTACAGAGAGTTAGTGTAGGCTTAGAAAGGTTAAATAACAGCCTATGGCAGCCTCGGAGTTGTGCCACGCAGGGCTCATGTCAAGACAACCTGCTGTGGGGGCACTGTTGACTGGGGTCTGCAGGGGTACTCGGACGAGGCTCTGCTTCCCCCAGCTGCTCCCAGCTGAGAACTGAGCATGGTGGAGGTAGTAGAGCCAAGCAATTTATGTCCAACACTGGCCTCCTCTAAAGGCTGATCTTTGCTTGGGGATGCCCCATCAACTCTTCTTGCCCCAACCTCCTTCCTTCCCCTCTCCGTTCACAAGTGTCAGACCAGCATGGCGGCCTGGAGACTCTCCCTGCCTATTCCTGACCTTTCCCACAAGAAATCTCTTGTCCATCTAATCCATGTTGGCATCTGTGTCTCCCAAAGAACCAAACCTGTTGCCGTCGAGCTGATTCTGACACTGACATTCTGACAGTGACCCTATACGACAGAGGAGAACTGCTTCACAGGGTTTCCAAGGTTTCCAAGGTGGATTCGAACTGCTGATCTTTTTGGTTAGCAGCCTTAGCTCACTATAGCTCTTAACCAGGGCACCACCAGTGAGGCCAGAAAGTAGAGATTTAAAGCCAGGTTTTAAAGCCACATCTCTTGACCCCTGGGCAATTCTGCCTCTGTAGACAAGTCACAAAGGAATTTTTGGCACTTTTTCACTTACGTCTCCTTCAAATCACTTGAATATGACAAATGTTGGTTTCTGCTTTCCTCTGATATATCTCTACTCACTCCTTCTCCCTCAAAAGAGATGTAACTTTTTAGCATAAAAAGTCCAAATTCTCTAAAAATGATCTATTTGGCACTGAGTCTACCTAAAAGGATGATTTTCCTTTGACTATTAAATGAAGGAGAAGAAAGGTGATCTATCAGAGAAATAAACAGCAGCTTTGGAAACAAATCTCAGCATTATTTTTAGAACGCTGTCAATTCTAAATTGGAGCTGATTGTCCCAGCCTCTGAGCAGCATGCTGTCACATTTGTGTTCCAGCCACAGGGGTAGGGGAGAGCATGCCGCAATCATGCTCCGTGTCCTCTGCAGACTAGCACGTCTTTTAATAAAAATGGCAGTGCCACCTTCACTGGTGACAGATGCATGGGGTCATGCTGACTAGCCTTCCCTAGAGCAGAATCACAGAGTCAGGTTCTAAGTTGGTGCTGGAGCAAGACAGTTAAATAATACCTGGGTTTCAGCAACTCCTGAGGAAGTGTGAATAGCAAGTGGCTGGTGGGACTGTCCCCAAACCGAAAGGCTCTGTCATTGGCCTTGGCCTGGGGTGGTGACAGGCAAGACTGTGCATCTCTCCACACCTCCATGTTCCTCAGAGAGGTCACTGGTATGTCCTGCAATGTCTGTGTGGAAGACAAGCAAATTGTTAGGACAGTTAGTTACCAGGGAAAGAGTGAAGAACGCTTGTCTTGCTAAGTGCCTTGCACAAGTTTTATTCTTCATCCTAAAAGATGAATTCAATAGAGAAACCAAAGGCCAGGCACATGGTACTGGGGGGTGGGCGGGAGAGTTCCCACTGAGGACCCTCGGCAGGGTTACTGACTAACAACACGGAGATGGGGCAGAGCAGTGAGTTGGGGAGTACTCTTCATCTCCCTAACTCCTTGTGCAGCTGGATCCTCCCAATGCCCCCCAATGTTCTAATGTGGCTTTGACTTAGGGGCATCTCGCCACTAAAAAACAAAAACCAAACTTGCTGCTGTCGGGTTGATTCTGACCCTATAGGACAAAGTAGAACTGCCCTATAGCACTTCCAAGGCTGAAATCTTTACAGAAGCAGACTGCCACATCTTTCTCCCTGCAGAGTGGCTGGTGGGTTCCGAACCACTGACCTTCCAGTTGGCAGCCAAGAGCTTTAACCACTACACCACCAGGGCTCCTCTACCTTGCCACTAGGAAGGTATAAACCAGGACTGTAAGGAAGAGTGGATCATTTTCTTGGGGAAACAAAGTTTATGAGAGTCTAATACCCCTTTGTCACTCCCTGTTTAGGGAGGATGTATATTGTTCCCGTCCTTGACAACTCTGGTCTCTTTTCTGAAGGCTGCTAAACTTGGGACCAGCAGACATCCAGAGCCCTGCACCACCACAGAGCATTCGAAGAGCCACAGTGCATCCCTTGAAAGGTCCAGCATTTGGCCAGCAGCACCAAGGCATACACAACCAGGCAGGGGGCCGTGGAGATGCAACCCTCTCTCTCCTGCTCCCCCATCGTGGCCACTCCTTTGGGCACACTGATCCCCACCCCCACCCCAGCCCTACTTGTGAAGCAGGGCAAGAGAGAGGATGGAAGAAGAGAGAGCAGGAAACAGAATTGGGGCAAACCACAGCCCATCTCCGCTTTCATCGGTGTCGACCGAAGCACACATCTGTCCTAATCCGGGTGATGCTTTAAACAGGACTGGATTTCATGCAGAAAAACAACCATAATAAATATCAAATGGGACTAGAAAAACTGTTAGAAGAACCTGAATTTCCACAGTCCCTCCCTCTTCCACCTGGGGCAGAGCCCAGATTTTGAAGAAGGGTCTGTGCTTCTCCCACAAGGCTCAGAGCTCAGCAGGGATCTCCGTTAGGCAAAGCAAATAGCGGCAACTGGTCTTGCAAGGGATTGGTTCAGAAATGAACATGACCTAATCCTGGCCAATGAGTCTCAAGGGGAAGTTTGGCAGGGGTGGGGCTTTTTTTTTTTTTTTAATTTTATTGTGCTTTAGGTGAAGTTTACAGCTCAAGTTAGTTTCTCATTCAAAAATTTATACACATATTGTTTTGTGACATTGGTTGCATTCCCCACAATGTGACATCGCTTGCCCCCTTTCCACTCCGGGTTCCCTGTGTCCATTCGTCCAGTTTTCCTGTCCCTTCTTGCCTTCTCGTCTTGGTTTTGGGCAGAAGCTGCCCATTTGGTCTCGTGTACTTGATTGTTCTAAGACGCACGTTCCTCACCTCTGTTACTGTTTGTTTTATGGGACTGTCTAACCTTTGTCTGAAAAGCAGGCTTTGGGAGTGGTTTCAATTCTGAGTTAGCAGAGTCCGGGGGCCACAGTCTAGGGGTTTCCTCCAGTCTCTGTCAGACCTGTAAGTCTGGTCTTTTTTTTGTGAATTTGAATTTTGTTCTACATCTTTCAGGGGGGCGGGGCTTCTGATAAACATTTTCTTACTAGGAGAGAGAAACCGACAGAATTAGTGCTTCTTTTGCTGGATGTGTCCAGTGAGGACATGTCTGGAGCCACCGAAGGATGAGGCAAAAGACTCGGAAGCAGAGCCCGAGTGTTGATGGACTGGGTCTCGAGCCCAACCTACTCTGAACTGTTCAGTACATGAGATTATAGATCCCCCTTATTGTTTAAGCCATTCCCAGGATCTAGCAGCTGAAGGCTTCCCAACAGATTCACATTCCTTCAAGATCAAGTGTTCCTCCCCGACCTGATTCTGGATATGGTACTCAGACCACAGACATAATCAGTTATTTAAAATATTCTATGTTGGCACTTTGCTGAGTGAAGATGTTCAATCACAACCACCAGAAAGTTACACGAATTGCTTAAAATCACAGCCAAACCTTGATCCTACTGAGATGAGAACCCAGCCTGGAGCTTCCTGCCCGTGACCCACACAAGTGGGCCTCACTCCCTTGCTGAAAGATTCTTCTGGTGTGTCAACAGCACTAAAATCAAGAGGAACAGGTTTGATAGATACCCTTTGCTACCAACTCTTCCCCAATTCTGTTAATGACACCAATGTCCTTCCAGACACCCAGTCCCCAAGTCCTGGCCAGCACTGACACCCAGGTCCCTTGCCTCTTTCATGCATTCAGTTTCCACGTGCTATTGTTAATCTCACTGATGTATTTTGCTTCCACTCCTTTTTCATTCCCAGCTTCTCTACCCTGTAAATCAGGCCCCTGGCTCTCTTGCCTGAACTCTGCTACCCCAAACCATCCCATAGGCAGCTGCCAGTTTAATAATCTTCTAATACAGCTTAAAGCACCCCTTTCAATCAATGGCTTTGTGTTGCCTATAGAAATATGTCCAAATTACATAAGGTCATACAAGTCTCATGTCACCTGGCGTTGGCATGTGATTCCAATCCTGCCTTCCACAACTCTCCTTCCTCTACCATGAATGGAAGCCAGATCACATTTCCCACCACTCACCATGCCTGCAGGGACCTCCCACTGTGGCTTGGAGAGCACATCCTTCAGGATTCTATAGCCCTAAATTTGAATTCAAACTCTACCATTTATTGACTGGGCACTCTTGGGCAGGTCATTTTAACATCTCTGCCACTCAACATTCTCACCTCTAAAGTCAGCATTTTATTCTGTTCTCAGGAGGGTGTGGTGAGAACTAAAAGATAAAGCACGAAAACTTGGGAGGATCAGAGATAATGCATGCAAAGTGTCTTGTACCTGCAAGCCCCACCCATATCCCGCCTCCCAGCTTTTTGCTTCTGCTTATGCAGCTCCAATATATACTGTCTCAGCTCTGCCCACTCTCAAGACTCAGCCCATTAGAATCCCCCTGATCTCTGTGGTAGGATAATTCCTGCTGCACCACTCCTACAGCATGCTATATCCTTTTCATTTACATTATTTATCTGTATAATAATCACAGCTAACATTTATTCATGCTCATGGTGTGCCAAGCACTTTTCTAAGTGTTTTTGTTTTTTACCTCATTTAACCCTCACAACGTCATGAGATGTTAGTATTACTTTTCCTCATTTACATCGGAGAAAACAGGCCCATAGAGAGAGAGGTTAAGGTGACTGTTATGAACACAATTGTGTCCCCCCACCCCACGAAGATATGCTGACATTCTAACCCCTGTACCTGTGAATGTGACCTTATTTAGAAATATGTTCTTTCTTTGAAGATGTTATCAGTTAAGTCTGCTGTCTTTGTTAGGTGCTGTCAAGTCGGTTCTGACCCACAGCAACCATAGGTACACAAGAACAAAATACTGCCCGGTCCTGCGCCATCCTCATAATCATTGATATGCTTGAGCCCATTGTTGCAGCCACTGTGTCAATCCATCTCATTGAGGGTCTTCCTTTTTTTTGCTGACCCTCTACTTTACCAAACATGATGTCCTTCTCCAGGAACTGATCCCTCCTGATAACATGTCCAAAATATGTGAGACGTAGTCTTGCCATCCTTGCTTCTAAGGAGCACTCTGGCTGTACTTTTTCCAAGACAGATTTCTTCGTTCTTCCGGCAGTCCATGGTATATTCAATATTCTTCGCCAATACCACAATTCAAAGGTGTCAACTCTTCTTCGGTCTTCCTTATTCATCGTCCAGCTTTTTGCATGGTGTTTTTTGAAAACACCATGGCTTGGGTCAGGCAACCTTAGTCTTCAAGGTGACATCTTTGCTTTTGAACACTTTAAAGAGGTCTTTTGCAACAGATTTGCCCAATGCAATGCATCTTTTATTTCTTGACTGCTGCTTCCATGGGTGTTGATTGTGGATCCAAGTAAAATGAAATCCTTTACAACTTAAATCTTTTCTCCATTGATCATGATGTTGCTTATTGGTTCAGTTGTGAGGATTTTTTTCTTTATGTTGAGGTGTAATCCACACTGAAGGCTGTGGTCTTTGATCTTCATCAGTAAGTGCTTCAAGTTCTCTTCACTTTCAGCAAGCAAGATTGTATCATCTGCATAACGCAGGTTGTTATTGAGTCTTCCTCCAATCCTGATGTCACGTTCTTCTTCATATAGTCCAGCTTCTCAGATTATTTGCTCAGCATACAGATTGAGTAAGTATGGGATACAACCCTGACACACACCTTTCCTGACTTTAAACCACACAGTATCCCCTGTTCAAACAACTGCCTCTTGATGGATGTAAAGGTTCCTCATGAGCACAATTGGACCTCCCATTCTTTGCAATGTAACCATAATTTGTTATGATCCACACAGTCAAATGCCTTTGCATAGTCAATAAAACACAGGTAAACATCTTTCTGGTATTCTCTGCTTTCAACCAGGATCCATCTGACATCAGCAATGATATCCCTCGTTCCATGTCCTCTTCTGAATCTGGCTTGAATTTCTGGCAGTTCCCTGTTGATGTACTGCTGCAGCTGCTTTTGAAAGATCTTCAGCAAAATTTTACTTGCATGTGATATTAATGATATTGTTCGATAATTTCCGCATTCAGTTGGTTCACCTTTCTTGGGAATAGGCATAAATATGGATCTCTTCCTGTCAGCTCACCAGGTAGCTGTCTTCCAAATTTCTTGGCACAGATGAGTGAGTACTTCCAGCACTGCATCCGTTTGTTGAAACATTTCAGTTAGTATTCCGTCAATTCTTGGAGTCTTGTTTTTCACCAATGGCTTCCGTGCAGCTTGGACCTTTTCTTTCAGTACCATTGGTTCTTGATCATATGCTACCTTCTGAAATGGCTGAATGTCGGCCAATTCTTTTTGGTATAGTGACTCTGTGTATTCCTTCCATCTTCTTTTGATGCTTCCTGTGTCATTTAATATTTTCTCTGTAGAATCCTTCAATATTGCAACTCGAGGCTTGAATTTTTTCTTCAGTTCTTTCAGCTTGCGAAATGCCAAGTGTGTTATTCCCTTCTGATTTTCTAACTCCAGGTTAAGTTACTGGAGTCATACTGGAGTAGGGTGGATCCCAATCCCATCTGAACTATATTTAACAGAAGGGGAGAACAGGCACAGAGACAGGGTCACACAGGGGGAAGACACCATGTGAAGATTCATCTACAAGACAAGGAATGCCAAGAGATGCCTGGGGCTACCAGAAGCTGGAAGAAACAAGGAAGGATCTTCCCCTAGAGCTTCAGAGAGAACATGGCCCTACCTGAATTTGGACTCCTAACCTCCAGAACTGTGAGACAATAAATTTCCATTCTTTAAAGTCACCCACTGTTTGGCATTTTGTTATGGCAGCCCTAAGAAACTATGACAGTCACATACCCAGTAAGCAATAAAGCCTGACTCAAATCTAAGAAGTCTCATCCCCAAATCCAGTACTTAACCACTAAGCTATGGTGCCTTCTCTCTGCTATTGGGCTTTTGGAAGCAGGATTTATGTCTTATTCTATCTAACCTAGGGGCTTACACAGAACAGAGGGAAAATTAAATATAGTATATTCACTGATGTCTCCCATATAAATAGCCCCCATTCCACCCTAGCTCTGGAGGCCCAGCAGAGACATCTGACAGCCTCCCACCAGTTTTCTCCACCTGGATGGCCTGCAGGCACCTGTAACTCAATATGCCACAAGTGACTCATCCTATTCTCCTCCAAATTCTTACCTTTTCTTGTCTCCATGAATGGTATCTCCATCTACCAATAACCCAGAATAAATGCCTCAGAAATATTTAAACTCTTTTCTTTCCCTTGCTGCCCACATTCAATTATTACCAGAGTCCTGCATATTCTATCTTCTAAATAGCTCTGAACCCATTTCCTTCTCTCCATCTCCACTATCACTGTGCTAATTTAGTCTCCCAGCAACTTTCAGCCTTACAATAAAAAAAATGAATACATGGCTTCATTCCTGATGGGGCAATTCTAAAGATGTTCTTTTCATTACAGTAAAAGGACAACCCTTTGGGATTTATGATGTATATTTCTTCTTAATGGCATAAAACACTGCTTAATATGTGTTAACTATTCAAAATCCCCCAAATCATTGTGCAGCATGGAAGCACCAGAAGACAAGCAGCATGTGGTTGCCATTAAGCAGAAAGTGTGTTGAGCAGAAGCTCCTTGTTCTTAAGAGGGGACAGGCTCTGGGGTCAGGCTGCCTGGGTTTGAATTCTAACTCCATCTTCTATCTGTTTGGGCAAATTGCGTACTTTCTAAACTACAGTCTCCTTTTCCAGAAGATGTGGCTAGTACTCACAAGGTTACTTGAAGATTTGTAAGAAAATCCACTTAGAGAGCTTAGCACAATGCCTGGTACATTGGAGGTGCTGACTGTTATCCACTAATCACATTAATTCTAACATCAGACACGGGGAGGTCATATTGCTGACCTAAGGCAGGGCAAAGAATTCCTTAAGTCCTACGGCTGCGTTCTGTTCCCAAGTTCTTTATGTTCTACCCCTGTGTTCAATCCATTATGATGCTTCTCTTCCTAAAAACAAGAAATTTCATTTCCTTGTCACTCTCTCTTAGTGATGCACATTATAATCACCTGGGAGCTTTACAAACTATTGATCCCTGGGCCCACTCCAATAGTCTGATTTCATTGGGTGGGATGTGCCTGAGCGTTGGGATTATAAAAGCTCTCCATGTGTCTCTCATGAGCAATTGAGGCTGAGAAACCCTGGTTCAGACAAGGATGAGGTAGCGGGGTACCTCTTGTCATAAGAGTTGCATGAGGGCAGGGGGAGGTCTGGGGAGGAAAAGGAACATGGATTCTGTTTTCTAGAGAAAACCATTGTACTTACTAGAAACACAGCAGAAGTGACAAAATAAGCCATAACCTACATAACTGAGAACTGAACTCAGTGTTCTTTCTATTTGTCCTATGACTGCAAAAATTGCCAAATTTTCATCAAGATAAAAGGAAAAGCAGAAAAGAAAAGCACTTGGAGCATGGTGGTGTAATTCAACTGGTGATGACCCACTGGTCCAGCTTCATGGAGCACTAACCCCTATCAGATCAAGTGATCTACACATCTTTCTCCCCTCCATCCTTCCCCCAGTACCTCCCACAAGGCAGGCTGTGAGCATCCTCGGGAGTGCAAGGGTTTGACACTTACCAGGTTGATGTTGGAAGTCTTTGCTTTGTTAAACCTTGTTGAGCCTTTAAGCAACATTAGAAAAGGTGGTTTGTTTAAACTGCATCCTCCCAGGGACACATCTCTCTTGGAAGACGTACCAATCAAATCTAGAACTGCAGGGCTCTGTGATAATCTGAAACAAGGGCAGAAGTGTAAGCTACTGCCAAACTCTGACACATCAATGAAGACACATTGGCAGAGAGCACTCGTTTCAAAAACACATTCTTACTGCCATGGTTTCTAGGTAAACTTTCATCTCTCACCTGTATATTACTAAGCTGGTGGAGTCCCGAGAACACCCAGCACCCTGCCTTGTCAGCAGAGCTTCCAGAAATTTTTATTGACTTGACCAGCCACGGTTGTAGCAAGGCCAGAACACCATGGCTCTTTTTTTGGAATGGGCATCATATAGAAATAGGAAAACGAAGTATGCCGAGAGGGAAACACGGGCACTAGATGATATACAATGACTGTGGGCAGCAGGAAAGCTCAGAAGACAGTTTATGGAATGATTCATTTAACTACGTTTGAGTAGGAAAGTCTCACTCTCAAATGGAAGAAAAAAATAAAAATTTGCTCTATCTCATGATTATTGTTGAAACCTTTCAATGGTGGAAGGCTGGTGCTAAACCCCACCCCCATCTTCTCCCATTGCTCCTACTTTCTGCTGCAGTCAGGGGGCTAGATGGTCAAGGGAGATGCTTCATCAACCAGGAGAGGTGTGAAAACTCAGAGCCTCATCCTGCCCAAGGGGATGGTGCACTGACAGCAGGAGGGATAACGGCCCTCACGGCAGCCCGAGGCCAGTGCCGGGTCTTTCCCTCTGCCTTAGGGAGGATTTTGTCTCTTCTCTAAAAATGATTATTTTGTATCAAAAAAAGGAAAATCTGGATGAGCTTTAAAAAAAATCAGATTAAGCAATATTAGTACGAGCATTTAAGGTTTGTGTGGACACACCAAGCCCTTCTCTGCCTATAGAAGGTCCTGAGTGTTCTATTAAAGGCTACGTTCAACGCTCTGGTGACTTGGTTTCCTAGCACTGCACTGGGCCGTGCCTTGGCCTTGAAAACTGTGTCAAGGTGATTAAATCTAATTGCACCATCTTGATTACAACAAAATAAAATCTCAGTGTGAGTATTTTTAAAGGCCACAATCTGAAAGTTAATCTTAATTAGAACTTTTCCAAGGTTACGTGCCAAAGCTGCTCTTCCAAAGGGGGGTCTGTGCCCAGGAGTCTTTCGCTTGTTTTTTAATGTGTCTTGCCAAAGAGGGTGTTTTGAAAGTTGTGGTATGAGAGCTTCATTCGGCACGTGTTTACAAACCCAGCTCTGGTAACCCGACCAATGAGCCACCCTCTCCGTCAGCAGGGACACTCTCTGCGGACCCTCCCAAGTCTCAGTTACCCCCACAGAAAGGATCACCCACCTCTGGACGAAAACATTGGTAATACAACCCTCAAAGTTACTCCCACCCAGGCGTATGGACTGCTGGGAACTTGAAAATCCTTGTAGCCTTTGGTTACTTTTCAGAGGCTGGTCATCAATCAGAAGCCGGAGTCTGAAAAAGCAGGAAAGCAAAACCAAGATCAGAACTGGTGGGAAAAAAAGATTCTCTACATGTAGTCAGCTTACTGTCTTTGACTCAGACTCAATATTGCTTACCAAAAATAACTAGTTAAACTAGACTTATTTTTAAAGAGTATTTAAATTTTTTTCACATATTTCTTTTTGCGCATCAAATTTTTATTAAAGTATACTGTGCATACAGAAAGTACATATATCAAAAGTGTACAACTCTTTATGATCCCACTTATATGAAATATATTAAATAGGCAGATGCATAGAGACGGAAGATCATTAGTGGTTACCAGGAGCTGGGGGAAGGGGTACTAAGTTTCTCATTGGGGTGATGAAAAACTTTTGGAATTAGATAGTGGTGATGGTTGCACAACATGGTGGTAATTAATGTCACTGAACTGTACACTTAAAAATGGCAAATTTTTTGTTAGATATTTTACCACAATAAAAGAAATTTAAAAAGGGTACGGCTCAATGAATTTTCACAACGTGAATATACCGACATAACCAACACCCATATAAAGAAACAGCATGACCAGCACCTCCGGGGCCCCTGGATGCTCCTTTTGGTCTCTAGCTTCCTTTGCCCTCCAAGGGTAACTACTCTCTTGAATTCTGATAGAACAGATTAATTTTGTCTGGGTTTGAACCTTGCATAAATGAAAGCATAGGGGATGAACCCTTTTATATGTGACTTCTTCCACTAAATATTATGTCTGCAAGGGTCATCCATGTTGTTGTATATAGCTGTAGATCTTTCATGATCATTGCTGTGTAGTATTCCATTTTGAATACACCATAATTTATTTCTCCACCCAACTGTTGATTATTTTTTAATGGGTTTTTGATACGGAACAAGAAAGAAGGCCAAGACTTACTAGCAAAATAGTGTCAGAATCAATGATAAATGCTTTGCAAAAAGAGGACCAACAATCCCACTAAATGAAATAAAGTAAAATTTTTACAGCTCTGTCAGGGGTACATTCCACTCACCCTGAGTTGTCATTTATCACAGATACATAATGCAGCAAACCATCCATGTACGTCCGAGGAGACTGAAAAATGGGGCTGCTGCTATCCCTGGTGCTCAATTCAATGTGACCTTCTTCCAGAGTGACCTGCAGGCTACTTGTCTGAAATCATCACAGAATATACTCGTCAACACAACTAATTTTCATATGAGGACTATGCATGTATCAATACGAAATTTATGATCAAAACCATATATAAAAAGGCTTGAGATGTTTTGACCCAAATGTTTTGACTTTGCCATATTGATCTAAAGATTTTTAAAAAATATTTTGACTCTGTGTTTATGAATATAAACATTTTATGTAAATTATTTTTTTTTATTGTAATTAAATGAGGTTTACGTTTCAAGTTAGTCTCCCATACAGAATTTTTTTTTTTAACATACATTGTTATGAGACCCCAACTGCTCACCCCATTCTGCGATGGCACACTCCTCCCCCCAGCCCCTGATTCCCCATGAACATTCAACCAGCTCCTAACTCTCTCTGCCTTCCCCTCTCACCTCTGGACAGAAGCTGCCCCTTTGGTCTCTTATATCTACTTGTCTAAGAGGCACATTCTTCACAAGTATCACTTTATGATCCACAGTCAAGTCCAATCCCTGTTTGAAGAGTCGGCCTCGGAAACTGTTTTAGTTCTGGGATGATGGAGAGACCAGGGGCCATGCTTTCC